GGATCTTGGAGCAGTACCTGCACTGTTTTGTGAATCAGCAGCAAAATGATTGGGCAGACTACCTGGCAGTGGCAGAGTTTGAATTCAATAACTCACAGCACACATCCACCCAAACTACGTCCTTCTTGGTCAATGTAGGGTATCATCCTTGGTTTTTTCTCCTCACACCAATCAACTCACCGGTCCTCGCAGCTAAGGACTTTCTGTCGGAACTACAGGCAATCCATCAAGTGGTGCGACAATATCTGGATAAAGCAAAGGAGGACTATAAGAGAGTTGCGGACAGGTCTCGATGCGTGACACTGGCGTTGACTCTGGGGGATCGAGTGTGGCTGTCCACTAGACACCTTCCGTCAGACTGGCCGTTCAAAAAGTTAGACCACCATTACCTTGGTCCGTTTCCTGTTGAAGCAGTCATCAATCTGATCGCCTATAGCCTGACATTGCCACGTTCGATGCAAGTCCATCCGGTCTTTCATCGATCTCTCCTTGTTCCTGAACGGCCGGCTTGTCCTCTTCACCAACCAGATGCCAGTATCCGGGATTCCCGATGGCTGAAAGGACGGTTCCAATACCTGATTGAATGGAAGGGCTATCGGCTGGAGGATTTTACCTGGGAGGATGCGACCTCCGTGCACGCACCTGCTTTGGTGCAGGCCTTCCATGATCAATTCCCATCTAGGCCACACCCTGAGCATCAGACCCGGGGGAAGGACCCTGCGGTGTGGGATAGTGTTGTGGTCCAACAGTGGCCGGCTGAGCTGTTGGTGGAATCTGACAGCGATGAACACTATGGGACTGCCCTGGAGGCTGGGGAAGACTCTGGGGGGTGTTCGGAGTCATAGCAGGGACTAGAGAGGCCTGTTGGCCATCAGGTGGCGTATGAGTCAGGGAGCAGTGAGGAAGAACAGAGGGAGGCTGTCCCTGACGTACGTAAGCATAGGGCTGCGAGAAGGAGGGAGCAGCTTTGGAAAAACGGTCACAGAAGGAAATAGGAACAGGTGGCTACTGATTGGCCCCTCCCAGAGAGCTTATAGGTGGGGCGACGGGAGGGGAATTTTGCAGGAAGCAACAATTTACTGATCCAGCTGTAGAGAAAGATTAGGAGAATTTCATGAGTTCAAGCTTTGTTTCATAGATAGCTTTCTGGACTCCCAGCCAAGGGGTTGCTTATCTCCCTCCTTAGTTGTGGCAGACAGCCAAGTCTGATCCGTATATATTGTAGAGGCTTGGGACAGAACACTTATTGGGTATAAAATTAGAAGAGGAACAAGTAAAGGAGACAATGACAGTATGGGTGAAAATTTTTGGTTATATGATAAAATTAGATAAATGGCAAAAATTGTGGAACAGAAATTGTAAATTAACAATGTCAACTGCATATAAAGAGAATTTATATAAAATGTTTTATAGATGACATCTTCTGCGGGAGAGGTTGGCAAAGATGTTTAAAGACAAATGAGCTAAATGTTGGACGTGCCACCAGACACCTGGATCTTACTATCCTATGTGGTGGACATGTGGAGAAGCAAAGAAGTACTGGAGAAAAAGAAAGATATGGTTGGAAAAGATGATTAAAGAATGTATTGAGCTAAAACCAGAAATATTTTTGTTGGGGATATTACTTGTAACTTATGATAAAGAGAATATATATTTAATTATTCATATTTTAACTGCAGCTAGAATTGTATTTGCACAAATTGGAAAAGTGGAGAGATTCCTACTGATAAGAAGGTGATTAGGAAAATATTAGAATATGCAGAAATGAATAGACTAACTAAGGAGAAAGAACTGATTGTTACAGGGATGGGGAGTGTTTTATCAATGATTAGAGGATAAAAAAGGAAATTGAAAATAGAAGAAGATAGAAAATGTATCAAGATAGAGATAAGAATAAAATGACAATTGTTAGTACTCGTATTATGAGAATAACTATGTTTAATGTTATGATTGTGAAGGGGACAGGGACGTGCAGTCACTAGAGGCAGGGGAGGCAGGGCCTCACCAGTCTCCTGAGGGAAAGGAAGAATTTTAAATAATTTTTTTAAAAATAATTAAAGCCAGGG